AAGCTAACCTAGTGAAAATTCCGTCTAAGAGGGTAACTTGTGGTTCCTATGGGATATGTAGGGGGAGAATAACTCATGGCCGTGGCACCGGGAATGGGTCTTGCTGCCAGGTGGGTACCTGGATGAATGAGAAGAGGCTTCCCAGAATGGTTCAGCTTTGCTTTCGTGTGCTGTGACTCAATTCCCATCCCCCACAGACAAAGGGTGAAAACCAGCCGTTCTCAGGGGATCTACTTGGACACGCAGCCCCAGGAAGGGGCCCTGTCTCCCGGCAGGTACCTGGATGAATGATCTTATCCCATTGGAATTTTGGTACAACAGTGACATCAGTAAGGCAAGACTGTAAATTGTATATGATGTGTTTAATTTCGTTGTGGAACCATCCACCAGGAGACTCCCATGTCCAACGTTTATATTCGGCCTTCTGGAGTTGTGAGTTATCATGGATGGTCTTGGTCAACATGATGAACTCAGACAGTCTCTCACCCTGTTTGTTCCATTCTAGGCCAGGGGTCCCGATGTGGAGTTCTTCGGCTGATCTTCTAGGTCCAATCTTGGCATAAAAATCTCTGACAATGATCTTGTAGAAGGTGTGGTCTTCTTTATAGAACTTCTCCAGCTCCATGTAGAACTTATCATTTTCTCCTTCATCATAATTGGATGCTGGTGTGTAGACAACAAAGATAGAAAGTGCCGGCAGTGAGCCACATCTATTCAAGTGTAATCGTCCGATTTGGGTTATAGGCATTCGAATGAATCAATATTTATGGCCAAGTTTGTGCTGACAAGGATACTGACACCACCGACGCCTCTTTTGTCGCATGTTCCGAGGAACAGTTTTTCCCCAGTGTCGAAAACGGCGTGAGGTGATTGATGCCTTCTCGTCTCAGTCAGACCAATGATGTTGTACTTGATCTTTTGCGCTTGCACCTCAATGGATGCATCCAATGCCAGTGTATGTGCATTGAAAACACAGACAGTCATTTTTGTCCTTCTTCATTTTGGTAGCCTAGTTCGGCCATGAGATTTTATCAGCCTCTCCTTTCTCATCCTTCTTAACACTGCCATATTGGTGGCTCTTTCAGGGTCAGAGGAATGAGACCTATTGTATTTACTGTTTTTGGCATATCGAATATACCACGTATAGCTTGCCAGGCTCTGCCTTGTGGGTAGGATACTCTCCATAACTTGCCAGGTTCTCCGATAGGGATAGAGGCTTTTTGGCAGCCTCTAATCATCCTTGCAGGTGTTACAATGGTTCAAACCATAATTAAACCTCATCAGATATGGTGCTGTAAACTTGTATTAAGTGTTTTATGATGTGTCGGTGGTGGCAGTTCTTTGGTGGATGCGCACCCATGGAAAAGGGTTGTGGAGTGGGTGGCGGACATCAGTGGGGCCTCTCGTGGCCTCGGCCATCCTCTCATCATCTTGGATCCTGGCATGTGGCCTGTGGAGGCGGCGTCCGCCATGAGCATAAGGAAATGGAAGATAAAGTCACTAGTTCAGAGAAAGGTGAATAAGCAAAATTAAAAGCAAGATATGCTCATCTAGGACAAAAGCCTGGAGGTTCTGTTTTCTTAAGGAAACGACTACAAAAAGGGCAAAAATATTTTGATTCTGGGGATTATAACATGGCTAAGGCAAAAATGAAGAACAAGCAACTTCCTGCTGCTGCAACCCCAGATAAGGTAGAGGTCACTGGTGATCACATCCCCACTCCACAGGATTGGTCTGTAATACTCTCTTTTTTTGGTATCTCTCTCTGCTTTTGGTATGAGGGTAATATTTGCCTCATAGAAACTGTTTGGAAGTGTTTTGTTTCTGTTCTTTCAATTTATTGGGAAAGCTTGAACAGGATTGGGAGTAGGTCCTCTTTGAATGTTTGGAAGAATTTACTAGTGAATCCATCTGGGCCAGAGCTTTTGTTTTTCTGGGAGACTTTTCATTACTATTTCAATTTCCTTGGTAGTGATAGGTCTGTTCAGGTATTTCAAGTCACCTTGGGTCAGCTTTGGGAGATTTTAGGAATCCAGGAATTTATCCATGTCTTCGAGGTTTTCTAGTTTTGTAGCATAATGCTTTTCAAAGTAATCTCTGTTTATCCTTTGAATTTCTGTGCGTTCTGTTGTGATGGGTTTCCATGTCATTAATTTCTGATCTGTTTTATTATTTCTTTCCTCCTGTCTGGTTTGGGCTACTTTTGTTGGTCATTTTCCAAGTTCTTAAGCTGTGAGGTTAGATTGTTTACGGTGGCTCAATCTTCCTTCCTGAGGAATTCTTGCAGAGCTATAAACTTTCCTCTCAACACTGCTTTTGCTGTGTCCCATAAGTTCTGGTAACTTGTGTCTTCATTTTTGTTCCTTTCCAAGAATCTTTTGATTTCCTCTTTGATTTTCTTTCTAAACCACTCATTTTATTCAGTAGTGAACTGATTAATATCCAGGTGTTTGGTTTGAATTTCTGTTTCTGGGTGTGATTTATTTCTATTTTCAGTGCATCAGAATCTGAAAAGATTGTTGATAGAATTTCCAACCTCTTAATTTTATGGAGGTGTGTTTTGTGGCCTAGTGTGTGGTCTATCTTAGAGAATGTCCCATGTGCACTTGAGAATAATATGTATTCAGCTTTTTTGTTGGTGAAATGTCCATATATGTCTACTAGAGCCCTGTCTTCATTTATTCCTTCAGATAAAGTATATCCTTGCTGAGCTTGAGTCTTGTTGATCTATCGAGAGGTGATAAAGCAGTTTTGAAGTCTCCCACTATTATTGTGTTTCTGTCAATGTCTTTCTTCAAGTCTAGAGGAGTCATTTTAAGTGTTTTGCTGGTTCCTCATTAGGTGCGTATAAATTTAGGAGAGTGAGTTCTTCCTGGTGTAGAGATCCTTTGATCACTGAGAAATGACCTTCACTGTCTCTTGTAACCTTCTTCAATCTGAAGTCTATGTGGTTTGATATTAGTATGTCCACTTCCTGCTTTTTTGAGGGAGCTGTTTGCTTGTAGGATTGGGTCTGTTTGTTCTTTCTGTTCAGTGTGTTTCTTTCAGGCAACAGAGTGTTGGGTTCAGTTTTCAGATCCATTCTATCACTCTGTCTTTTAATCGGTGCATTTAGCCCATTGACATCGAGAGAGATTATTGTTATGGGTCTTTTTTCCCATCTTTCTGCCAAAGTTTGGTGTATTTGGGGGGCTTACTTGTCTTAAAGTAGTTTGTTTAGTTGCTCTTTTAGCCATGGTTTTGAATATATGAAGTTTCTGATTTGTTGTTTGTCTGTGAAGCTGTGCATTGTTCCTTTTAATACGAATGAGAGTCTGGCTGGGTAAAGTATTCTAGGTGAGTCGTTTATTTCATTGGGTTTATTCACTATATTCCACAACCTTTGGGCCCTTAGGGTTTCATTAGATAGGTCTGCTGTGAATCTTAAGGATGCTCCCTTATAAGAAATTTCTTTCTTTGGTCTTGCTATTTTCAGAATTTTATCTCTGACTATGGTTTTCATCATTCTAATCAGGATACGTCTTGGAGTATTTTTATTTGGATTTCTTTTAGCTGGAACCCTTCTGCCTCCTGAAGACAAGCAGTCTTCAGCTCTGGGAATGTCTTAGCAATGATGTCTTTGACAGTTTATTTTTCGTCAGGGTTTTCTTCTTGTGCCTCTGGGACTCCAGTAATTCTTGTTATTCCTCTTGGCTTCATCCAGATTTTCTCTTGACATTTGTTGGTTTATTTTGAGTTTCTTTTCCAATTTCTTCTGTTGTCTGGAGAGTCTCTGCACCTCATCTTGGAGCTCACTGATTCTATCCTTAGCATATGTTACTCTGTTGCTGAGACCTTCCACTGAGTTTTTCATTTCACCTGCTAAGTTTTTTAGGTCTGTCATTTCTGCTTGTATTTTTGTTTGCATTTTTCTCATCTCCGCTTTCACTTCCTCTTGTACTTAATCAGCAGTGTGTTCCATTTCTCCTTTGAGCTCCTTATACATACTTAAAAGTTCTATTTTAAATTCCTTATCTGATAAGTTATAGAGTTCATTGCTGCTGTTTGATTCATCTGGTCTAACAACTTCATTAGGCTTGGTGAGTTTTGGTGTTGTTTTACCATAGTGATCTTTGTGTTTTGTAGTTTTATCTCCTGTTGCCATATGTTATGGCCCCTGCAATTAGGCTATCTTTGTGAGTTGCCGTGGCTGATTGATAGGTATGTGTGAAACCTGGGATAACTAGTGCGTCAAATGTGGTGTGCAGAGAAAATAAGTGCATTAGTGTCTATGCAGTTTTGTGGTTCGGGGTTTACAAGGTATTCTGGATAAATAGATGCAAGAGCAATGATAGGGGTCCACACACCTGGTCGGGGAATTATTGTTGTGGTGCTGGAGAGGTGGAGGCTGGGGGCAGGATGCAGGCGCTCAGGATGCTGGGAGGAGTTCAAGTCCAGGTGCCAAGCTGGGGTGCAGGCTCGGGGAGTGGCTCACCAGCCAGGGAAGTTGACATACCTGGTCGAGGAAGTTGGTGGACAGGAGAAGGCACATTTTATTACATCAGATGGCAAATGAACTTGGGTTGACATCCCAACATTAAATTATTTGCTTAATTCAATTAAACAATTATACAGTATCTAAACTTGTATTTAGAAATATAAGAGAACTGATAAGTTAAATTAACAATGCTGAAATTTTAAGAAGACTATTCATTGATTATTTTTGTATTTTTTGTATATTTTGTATTTTTGTATTTATTGTATTTTTTTCTGTAGCCTGCCAGATTATCCAAAGTAAGAAAGTAACCTGCCCACACGGCAGAGTCTGGCAAACTCCCCGTGGCATACCCAATATGTCAAATACCAGTAACAATAATGGGGCTCATTCTCCTAACCCTGAAAGAGTCTTGAATATGGCACTTTTTAAAATCTCAGGGCTAGGATGAAGGAGACATTACTGGTGCCTGCTTGAGGCAATCGACAAATAACAGAATGATCATGATCGTGATTTTTTTCTGTAGTTAAAAAAATACTGCAGCTGAGCCCCTTCCTGTTTGCCCGCCCCCAAAGCTGCTCCGCCGGTCTCCTCCCCATCCAGGTCGGTCGTCCCGCCAGTATCCGAATCCGGGACTTGGTTTTTGCCCTGCAAGGGCCCAGGCGTCCTCTCGGACCCTGGAACAAAAGCGGACCTGAGCCCCTTGCTGCTCACCCGCCCCCAACGCTGCTCCACCGGTCTCCTCCTCAAACCAGCCTTCACCCCTCAAACACATACCTGGTTCCAGTGGGGGCGGGGCATCTTCAGAAGGGGCATGGCTTCTGTCAAAGTGGGTGTGGCTTAATTTTAGGCTGGCGACCGGTAACGTGGCCACAGGTAGTTTAGTCATACCAAGAAATCTACTCCCCACACCTACACACCAACATGAAGAAACAACACAAATCCCCACCACATGGAGAGGACAATGTAAAGAGTCCAGAAGCCTCAGTAGGTGCCTTTCACCTAAGGGACCTCTCTGACAAAGAATTCAGATATGAAGTCATGAGGATGTTCAATGAACTCAATGAAACAGTGAGACAGATATCCAGTAAATTGAAAGAAGACATGAAAGAAACAATGGATCGCACAATCAACAAAATACAGGAAGAAATGAGAGTAGAAATTGGAAAGCTATGCACAGAAATGTCACGAATCATAGATTCCATAGATGAAATAAAAAACTCAGTCTGTGCCCTCAAAAGTAGAATGACCACAGCTAAAGAAAGAATCAGTGAGCTGGAAGATCAGCTGCATCAAGTCAACAGGCAACAACAAACAATGTCGAGAGACCTAAAAATAGCTCAAGAGTGAATAAGAGTCCTAGGAGGTGATTCCAAGAGGAACAACATTAGAATCATAGGAGTCCCAGAAGGTCAGAGAAACAATCTCAATGAAAAAGCTATGGTCAAACAAATCATTGCTGAAAAATCCCCAGAATTCGACAATGCAGCCATTCAGATTCAAGGAGCCCAAAGGGTGCCAGCTAAAAGAGACCCTAACAAAAACACTCCAAGACATATCATAGTTAGAATGATGGATGCCACCGATAGAGACACAATACTGCAAGCAGCAAGATCAAAGAAGGAAATCACATACAAAGGAGCACCCCTTAAATTCACAGCAGACCTATCAGAGGAAACCCTCCAAGCCCGAAAGTAATGGTGGGATATAGTGAAAAAACTCACTGAAATGAATGCTTCACCAAGAATACTCTATTCGGCTAAACTCTCACTCAAACTCGAAGGAACGGTACACTATTTTCTAGATAAACAGCAGCTCAGGAACTTCATAGATTCAAAACCAAACCTAGAACAAGGGATAAAGGGGTTACTATAAGATAAGACAATCCCTACAAGCACAACAGACCCTTACAGAAAGATGACACAAAACCCCATAACAATAATCTCTCTCAACATCAATGGTCTAAATTAACGAATTAAGAGACACAGACTGGCAAAACAGATTCAGAGACAGAATCCAGCAGTCTGCTGCCTACAAAAAACTCATCTCAACAGTCAGAGCAAACATAGACTCAAAGTCAAAGGATGGAAAACAATCCTGCAAGCAAACAGCTTCTTCAACAAAGCTGGGGTGGCCATACTAGTATCCGACAATATCAATTTCAGGTTGAAAAAGATTAGAAGGGACAGTGAAGGCCATTTTCTCTTCATCAAGGGATACGTACAACAGGAAGAAATCACACTCTTAAATGTATACGCACCTAATGAAGGAACAGCTAAATATTTAAAACAACTACTAACAAATTTTAAGGAGGACATTGCTAACAACACAATAGTAGCCAGTAACACAACATCACCTTATCACCTCTGGATAGATCAACAAGACCGAAACTCAACAAGGAAACATTGGCTTTGAAAGAAGAAATAGAAGAGAAAGGACTTATAGACCTATACAGAGCTTTACATCCTCAAAAGAAAGAATACACTTTCTTCTCCAGTGCTTATGGAACATTTTCCAAAATAGACCACGAGCTAGGGCACAAAACATACCTGAATAGAATCAGGAAGATAGAAATAGTATGAACCATCTTTTCAGACCACGATGCACTGAGGATAGAAGTGAATCATACACAGACACGGAGAACCAAATCAAACACCTGGAAATTAAACAACTCAATGCTGAACAACGAGTGGGTCACGAACGAAGTCAAGGACGAAATCAAAAGATATCTGGAAACAAATGAGCATGAAGACACGAGCTACCAGAACTTATGGGATGTAGTGAAAGCCATATTAAGGGGAAAATTTATAACTCTACAAGCATTTCTCAGGACGGAAGAAAGGATGCACTTAAACAACTTGACTTCACAATCACGACGTTAGAAAAGGATCAACAGAAAGAGCCCAAATCAGGCAGAAGGAAAGAGATCATAAAATTTAGAGCAGAAATCAATGACATGGAAACCAAAGAAACAATCCGAAAGATCAATGAAACCAAAAGCTGGTTCTTCGAGAAAATAAACAAGATAGATAAACCACTAGCAACACTCACAAAGAAAGAGAGACAGAGAGAGAGAACCCTAATAAACCGAATCAGAAATGAGAAGGGGGCTATCACAACAGAAACCAAAGAAATCCAAAAGGTCATCAGCGACTACTTTGAAAGTCTGTATGCCACGAAACAAGAGAACCTAGAAGAAATGGATAAAATCCTGGATTCCTATCAGCTCTCAAAGCTGAATCAAGAAGATCTAGAGTACCTGAATAAACTGATTAACATCAAGGAAATTGAAACTGTAATCAAATATCTTCCCAAAAACAAAAGCCCAGGTCCAGATGGATTCACTAGGGAATTTTTCCAAACATTAAAAAAGGACCTACTGCCAGTCCTTCTCAAGCTTTTCCAGGAAATTGAAAAAACAGAAACTCTCCCAAACAGTTTCTATGAAGCCCGTATCTCTCTAATGCCAAAGGGAAACAAAGACACCACAAGAAAAGAAAACTACAGGCTTATATCGCTGATGAATATGGATGCAAATATTCTCAACAAAATACTAGCAAATAGAATTCAACAACTCATCAAAAATATCATACACCATGACCAAGGGGGATTCATCCCGGGGATGCAAGGATGGTTTAACATTTGAAAATCAATCAACATGATCCATCATATCAACAAAAGAAAAGATAAAAACCATATGGTCTTATCAATAGATGCAGAGAAAGCATTTGACAAGATCCAGCACCCGTTAATGATGAAAACCCTCGCCAAAATGGGGATAGAGGGGACTTTCCTCAATATAGTTAAAACCATCTACCACAAGCCTACAGCAATCATCATCCTCAATGGGGAAAAACTTAGAGCCTTCCCCCTAAGATCAGGGATGATACAAGGATGCCTACTCTCTCCACTACTGTTCAATATAGTACTGGAAGTACTTGCAATAGAGATTAGGCAAGAAAAAGATATGAAGTGCATCCAGGTAGGAAAGGAAGAAATCAAACTCTAACTATTCGCAGATGATATGATACTATACTTAGAGAACCCTAAAACCTCTACCAAGAAACTCCTAGAAACAATAGACTTGTATAGTAAAGTGGCAGGCTATACAATCAATTCCCGAAAGTCCATGGCTTTCCTGTACACAAACAGTGAGAGAGAAAAAAGCGACATGAAAAAAACAATCCCGTTCACAATTGTGCCCCAGAAAAATCAAATACCTAGAAATCAGCTTAACTAAGCAAGTAAAGGACCTGTACAAAAGAAAACTACAAAACGCTACTTCAGGAAATAAAAGAGGACACCAGGAAATGGAAAAATATCCCTTGTTCGTGGGTTGGGAGAATTAACATTGTCAAAATGGCAATACTTTCCAAAGCACTGTACAAATTCAATCCAATCCCTATTACGATGCCCATGACATTCTTCAAAGAAACGGAGCAAACACTCCTGAAATTTATATGGAACAATAAACCCCCACGAATAGCTAAAGCAATTCTGGGGAAAAAGAAAATGGCAGGAATCAACCTCCCTAACTTCAAACTCTACTAATAATAATTAAAACAGCATGGTACTGGAACAAAGGCAGAGCTGCAGACCAGTGGAACAGGGTCAAATATACTGACATCTCCCCCCATGCATATGATCATCTAATCTTCGATAAGGGGGCAAGAAATGTGAAGTGGAGCAAGGAAAGCCTCTTTAAGAAATTATGCTGGCAAAACTGGACAGCTACATGCAAAAAAGTGGGCTCAGATCTGTCCCTAACACCAAGTACAAAAGTAAGATCAAAATGGATCAACGACCTCAACATCAGACCAGAATCCATAAGGTATATTAAAGACAAAGTTGGCAAAACCCTCTATGACATTGAAGCTAATGGTATCTTCAAAGATGTCACACCACTGGCCAAGCATGTGAAAACATAGATGGACAAATGGGACTATCTTCAACTAAGAAGCCCTCTGCACCTCCAAAGAAACAGTGAGCAAAATACAAAGACAGTCTACAGAATGGGAAAGGATATTCTCCGGATACACATCTGACAAGGGGTTGATATCAAAGATATACAAAGTACTGGTTCAACTCCACAAGAAGAAAACATCCAACCCCATCAAAAAATGGGGTGACGAAATGAACAGAAACTTTCTCAAAGAAGAAAACTGAATGGCTAAAAGGCACATAAGAAAATGTTCTACATCGTTATAAACACTGGAGAGATAGTACAGGGGTTAAAACATTTGACATTTTCCTTGCACATAGCTGACTACAGTTTGATCCTGGCACCACATATGGTCCCCTGAGCCGCACCAGGATTGATCCATGAGCATGGAGTCAGGAGTAATTCTGGTGTGACCCAATTCTCCCCACCACCAATAAAATTTAACAAACACCAAACAATAAAAGGAAATTACTTCAACATAATAATAAAGTAAGGTAAAGGCCCTCCCGTTGATCGTCGATTTGCTCGAGCGGGCCCAGTAACGTCTCCATTGGAGACTTTGTTGTTACTGTGTCTGGCATATCGAATAATCTCGGTGGCTTGCTGGGCTCTCCGAGAGGGGTGGAGGAATCAAACTCGGGTCGGCCATGTTGGACGCTTGTAAGGCGAACGCCCTACCCGCTGTGCTAACATAATAATATTGTTTGCAAAAATCTCACAGCTAACATCATACTCAAAGGTGAAAAAACTGAAAGCCCTTTCCCTAGGAAATCAACCCTTGATGCTATTGTTTAACATAGTACTACAAGGGTTAGCAAGAAAAAAAAAGATAAATCAAAATTGTGAACTGGAAAGTGTGTAATCACAAAATAAAAAGGGCCCTCTTT